GCCTTTCGAGATCCCTAGGTCATTAGGGTTGGTCATTCGCTTCATAGAAAAAACCACCACCACCACCACCACCACCACCACCACCACCACCACCACCACCACCACCACCACCCCACACAAGAACCCGGAATGAACGATACTCTTTCCGCATTATACCCATCCATCAATGTAGAAGTGTACTATTAGCAGTCTAAAGGGGTTCCATTTAAGTTGTGGCGGTGATTGCTAGGAACCTAAATGGAAAACTCTCCCTTCCCCCTTTGAGGATCATAGCCTACTAGACGATGGACCCCTGTACAGGTTCCATGTCAGTTTGCAGCAGTGTAATCCGTGTGAAGGGGATTTCGTGGGTTTCTCTACCAGTTTCGAGAACTCGGCTTTGCTTGGGGCTGACATGCTTTGTCATGGTTCAGGATTTGAGACTCAGGGTTTGGGGGCTTAAGGTCTGGGTTCAGGGTGTAGGGGCGGAATGCATGCCTCGGGAACTACTGTAAGTAAGCTTATCTTTGGCAAGTGTTGCCTCGTTTCACCCGAACCCAGCCCATGCCCACCACACATATCCCCATCAATTTGTACTTGCTGCTGTTTGGCACAGGATGTGTGCAATCTTTTTGACGCTAAGGAGTAGAAGCAGTCGTGATAGTGAAGGATGGCCTTCTGCTGATACTTAAAATCTTGCATGACCTTAAAAAAAACTGAACTTTCTAGAAGTCCTCACTCGGAGCGTCATGGGGACTTAGTATGTAGGTTAAGGAACTCCTATAAGCCGCATGATGGCCTCAATTATCCCCATTATGAACCTACATTCTAAGTCCCCATGACCCGCCAACCCTAAACCCTAAACCCTGCCTACTACGTCCTCATGACCCTCCAAGCAGCTTAAGGGTTAGGATCATGCAGGTTTTAGGTTAGATGCTGCCGCTGAGAACCCGTTTTGATAAATCACACTCCGGCATCTAGATTTCTGGGCATACTGGGCACAAACCTTAAACCCAAAACCCTATAATCCCCCTTCGTAGACAGAACATGGGGTATATGGGGATCTTATTTTCATATCCCCAAAGCCATATTATCTGCTTAACGGGGGCTATAAACCCTAGAGCATTTGAGGCCTGGGGTGGCCCAGCTCCTCATCCTAGTTCCATGTCGTGTCGCAAGCGATGTCGGAATACGCTTGTCCGTTTTGTGCCTTCTGCGATTTCTCACCATTCTGCTTGAGGTGCATCACCGAGTTTCTCGATTTTGCTCCTGCAGAGACATGTCGGCCCAATATCTCTCCAGGGTGCCTTAAGTCCTCCTGTTCTGAGGGACGAGAAGCATCCCCCATATCCCCATCCGGGCCCTCCAATTTTGAGAAGCCCGCTTAGTGCGGCAGCATTCGGGCTTGGTGATTTAGGTTTTCAGCGTTCAGGGCTACTAGCACGGCTTTCCCGAAAAGCTTGTGGGCTTCGCACGCCAACAGTTCAAGCGCTTGATGTGTGGGATTGACTTTGTACCAAAATTTCTAGGTAATTCTGACCATCACCAACCTAGACTCAGAACAACCTTCTGGCCCTAAACCAAAACGCGGGACTCACTAACGTACACTTCACCGCCGTTCAGAGTTTAAGAAGAGGCCCCAAGCCTGAACGCAAAACTTGCATTCTGTGCTTGTGCCCTGCACGTCCCAAACTCCCAACCCATGAATCCCGAATCACCTCGAACATTCCTCTCACCAGGTGAGTCGGAGGACTGACGGATTTGAACAGCTTGGGCTGGCGGTCTGGGTTCACTTTAATAACAATAATAACAAGAACAATAATAATAACAACAGTAATAATAACAATAACAACAACAATAATATTAATAACAGCAATGAAAAAACAATAATATTAATAACAACAATAATAATAATAACAACAATAATAATAACAACAATAATAACATCAATAGTAATAATAATAATAACAATAACAATAATGATAACAACAATAATAATAAGAACAATAATAATAACAACAATAATAACAACAATACTAATAACAACAATAATAACAACAACAATAATAATAACAATAATAACAATAATAATAACAACAATAACAATAATGACAATAATAATAACAATAATAATAACAACTGCAATTCCGTTCACTCCGGAGCCTCACTGAGTTTGCATAGGGCAGGTTCAGAGAATACAGAGGCCCAACATAGACCCCAAAAGGCTTTAGTTTGTTTAGGGTTTAGTTTGTTTAGGGTTTAGGGTTTAGGGTTTAGGAAAGGGACCCTAATTTTTGGAAACCCCCATCTGAGGTTTGGATGAAACAATGGGCGCAGGGGTTGAGAGCGCGATGGTTTTTTGGTTTAGGCTTACAGACATGAGGCTTCCTGAAAACAGGGGCACCGTAAGGACTGAGATCACACGAGAATTTCGGCAGCCCTGACCACGACGCACCAAGCTCGAGTTTCACATCTTGCCCTGTCCGTAACTTGTCCTCTTCATGTTCTCAATATAGCGCAAGAACATCCAAACGTAACCTATTCTCTCCACACCAACATGGGCCCTTCTATGGCCTTCATTGAAAAGGACAGCAGTTTTGTTTAAGTTTCCTGTTGGGGGCTCTTGTGCTAGTTTGTGAGCACCCCCAAGCCTAAACCCTAGGCAGTGTGACCAAAATGCAAGGCCACCCCGGGCAAGCGATCAGAAGTTTTAGCACACAATGAGTTGCAAGTCTGTAAAAGTACGAGGCTGGCAGATGCAGCGAATCAGAAGAATGATGACCTGGAAAGGATCCTTAAGCCTGGAATTTAAAAACCCAAAGCTCCAAGAACCTGAGCTGAAATCCTAAAGCCCCAAGGCTGGTTTAGGGCTTAGGGTAACCCTGAAGCTCTGGAGGCTAAGCCCCATGGTAGTTTTCGAATATCAGTGTATCCATGGCACCCCTAACTTTCGGAAACCCCTGCATACTGGTTTTAAGGTCCAGGTTTATGGGCTTCAGGATTTAGGGCATAGGGCTTAGGATTCAGGGCTTAGGGTTTAGGACGGACGGGCCGGCGGTCTAGCTGTTGGGGTTTAGGATTTACTGTTTAGGATTTAGGGCTTAGGATTTAGGATTAGGTTCCAGGGCTCAGGGTCTAGGGTTTAGGGTCGAGGGTTTGGGGGCTAGGGTCTAGTGTTTAGGGTTAGATGAGAACATGCAAATTCTTTGGGGAATAGGCGCTCCATTGGAGTTATAGGGGTTTGAGGAGGTCTTCTGAAGGTCCTTTGGAGAAAGTATCTGGTGTTCATGTAGGTCTAAACGGAATTTGTGGGGGACATGATTGACCATACTGGAAATTTTCGGGAACAGAAGTTGGATCAACTAATCTATCTTATTCCCAAACCCTTAACCCTCAACCCTGAACTACATTGGAACCCCACGTAGCCAGTCTTCCAGTTTCATGCACGTTCTGTGCCGAGCTCAAAGCATGGAGCGGCTCGCAGGTTCAGCTTCGCTATCATAACGCTTTGCAGGAAGTCTGCTGCCTGCTGCGTGGAGCTCTTCCCACGACTGCATCCATGCAGCGGCTGCGGGTTATGAGGTAGTGCAACTCGGACTTGTTGCTTGGAATGTGCGGGCCATGTATTATTTCGTGATCTGTCCAAGAGTAAGATTCCGGCCGTGCGATTCGTGACATGGTCTGGCACCAAATGGCACCTAGCCAGTGGCAGCGCCACAGACGACTGTCCAGAGCTGGGTCGCTCATGAACGAGGGGCCGATCACTCTGGTGCTGCTGGTGAGGTCGCCAACAATTTGTAAAAGGGCAGACGTCTCTGTGGAAGGGTGATGTTTTGCGATGGCTAGTTAGCAAGTAATGTTTCCATAATTGGCTGCGGGCAAAGTGCGAGCGATGTGTTAAAGATGTGTATTGCTCTTCGGGCTTCGGGTTAAAGGCTTGTGGTGGAGCAGCCCCGCATTCGCAAGTTCCCCAAACCAGAAATTCAAACCCTGACCTTACAACTCTAGACCCTAAGCCCCCAAACCCACACCCTGAAAAACCCTCAGCCTTGAATGATGTGCAGCAAGCCTCAGAAAAGATTTAGGTAATGCAACCTTGCACCCCCAAATTTTGTACCGCAGAGCTACCATTTTCACTTTCAGAAGGTACGACGTTTTGGAGGTTGGGGTTTCCCAACTATTCTATACACCTCATACACTCCGACATTTCCAGGTTCTTGTCCATTGGATTCTCCATTCTTACTTTTACTAATATCCTCTTAGCCTTAGAAAACCCCCAATATATGACCTCTGCTTAAGACTTATAGGACCTGTCCCCTAAACCCTTAACCCTTAACCCTAATCCCTAAACCCCAAACCCTAACCAAACCCTAAACCCTAAACCCTAAACCCTAGGGTTGGGGTTTACTGGTTTACCAAAGTCCTTTTGCTCCAGGACCTGGGAAGTGAGTGCAAGGGCCGCGTGAAAGCTGGCTCGGAAGTCGAGGCTTGGGGTTCGGGACTTAGGGACTTAGGGTTTAGAGACTTAGGGACTTAGGGTTTAGGGGGTTAGGGACTTAGGGACTTAGGGTTT